CACGACTGTTTGTGGGGCACTGCTGTGCGCAATTGGCTGCTGCGTTTCATCCACAAAATATACAGTCAGTTCACTTTACATTATGTTCTGTGAAGCGCTTTGAGACGTCTCGAAGGTGTGATCAGGCGCAATATCAAATGCAAGGATTATTGTGAGGGCGTGGAACGCTCTGCCCCAGGAAGCTGTAGAGGTGGGATCAATAGTGATGTTTAATATGGACACCGACAGAGACTGGGGTAGTGGAGGGATTAAGGGGTGTGACAAAAGGGGGGGAGCGCACATTGGGATTTTTAAAATCTGCCCATGTCAAATAAACTGGTGGAACAGGCTGGGTTGGCTGAATGGCCTCTTGTTCCTGTTTTCCTATATTCCTGTTACTTTGTCATATTGACTAATAATAAAGTAATCCTGACTGTATTTTGTGGGCGAATTGAAGTGCTCGTCCTTTGGATGAGACGTTAAACTGAGGTCCCATCTGACTGTTCAGGTGGACAATAAAAATCCCATGGCAATATTCATAAAGAGAAAGAAGTTCCTCTCTCCCAGTGTCCTGGCCAACAATCCCCCAAATAAAATAGGTCACTCACTACATGGCTGTTTGTGGGACATTGCTGTGCGCAAACTGGCTGCTGTGTTTCTCCCACAAAGTACACAGTCACTACACTTTACAGTATATTCTGTGAAGCACTTTTGAGACATCTCAACAACATGATAAGGCACTGTAACAAATGCAAGGATTATTATTATTACTAATTCATATCAACAACAACAATATTACATTTGTACAGTGCCTTTCACGATGGGAGGACATCCCAAGGCGCTGGACAGAGTACAGCATTTCAGACCCAAGCTGGGGTTGGGGGGGCTAAAGGAGGGGAGGGGAAGGGGTGTGGCCGATGGCATGATTGAAGAGGAAGGTCTTGAGGTGGGACTTGAAGGAGGCTAAGGAGTGGGCGAGGCGGTGATCAGTGAGCTTAAATGGATGTGGTTAGACTCCAGCAGTTACCCCAAGCCAAGCCTGGGCTCTCGCTAACCTGCATCTAATGCTCTCTGGAATTAGGTAAGCAGGATGTGTCCCTCCAACAGTGGCATCTCCATGTGTAGGTGGTGATTATATGTGGAACTCTCAGTTTGGCTCAGTGACTCTTAAGCCTATGATGTGTTCCACGTGTGTCGGGCCATAAAGATACACAGGGTTAGTGCAGGGTGGCGTAAACTGCCCCAACATCTAGTACGTATAAGTAGCTATACGCAAAGTTACATAGAGGGCAGCTCTGCTGTGCACAGCGCTGGTCTGAGAGGATGGCTCTGGCAGGCAGACAGGATCATGTTGTTTTATTAATGGTTTCACTGAATGACACTGACAGGCCCACTATTACACTTTCTCGCAATGTGGAGTGCGTGCGTTTGTGCGCGAGAGGGTGTGTGTGTATGTGTGTGTGAGTGTATGGGCGTGGTGTTGGGTGGGGGGGGTATGAGGAGAGGGGTTGATGGAACAAACCACAGATGGTATCAGACAGGCGTGACCTTGAGTCTGCGTTTACGAACCATGTTCATATACCCAGCGCCTGGAATCCACCCTGATTGGTTTGCAGAGACGTAAAGCAGCTGCTGCTCAAGCTCCACACCTCCAACTGGTGGAACCATCGCTCAGTGGGAAGGGACTTGTGTCCAGGCTGTGGGCAGGAAGGTGGTGGCAACGCTCTCATACTATTTCATGCTGAACTGCATGACCCACCAGGAAACTCGCAGGGAGTTCCTGGTACCTGTCATCCACCTAGTGAGGTTCAAACCCTAGCTTGTAAGATGACCATTGACCCTCCTCCGGGGGAGGGGAGGTATGCAGGGTCTCCTCAAAGCTGAACTGGCAGGAAGGAGTGATTTATCCCACTCGCCTTCTAATAACCCTGCAGTCAAAGCCCTAATGGGTAGGGTGGTCCTAGCTGGACAAGCAGCGGGAAAGCTTGCCAGATGGGGCTCTGAATGGCAAGTTACGTGGTTTTAGCTGGTTAGACTCCAGCAGTTATCCCAACGCACACTCTGGAGTCCCCAAAGCTCCAATGGTGAGAGAGTGCACGTTCCATTGCAGACACAGGGATATTTCCTAACTGGAAAGTACAGTACAGAGGGAATGAGAGAGAGACAGAGTGAGAGAGACACAAACACACACACATATACATATACACAGATACAGACACACATACATACATACATACATACATACATACATACATACGTACGTACGTACGTACGTACATACATACATACATACATATACACACAGATACAGAGAGAGACACACACACACATACATACACACAGATACAGAGAGTGAGAGACACTGAGGCAGAGAGAGAGACAGGGACATAGAGAGAGAGACACACACACATACATACACACAGTTGCAGAGAGAGAGAGAGAGAGGCAGATACAACAACAACAACTCGCATTTATAAAGCGCCCTTCAGGTGGGGTCGTGTCCTGGAGCGCTTAATACAGATACAGACGCTGTCAGACACACACACAGATACAGAGAGAGAGACACAGACACCTTATCCCTGGCTGTATTATTGCATTATTGTTTCTAAAATGTGTGTGAATACTTAACTTTGCCGATTTAAAGTTTGCATTCTAACTAAAATAGAGTGAAATTAAGAAATACTGTTACGCTTTCTATACAGCTCTCGCGGGTTATGTTTCTGGAAGGGAACCACACGAATATCGCTTACGCAGCCCGTGCACTTTTCTCAGATAGGGCAGCCATCCCTCGGGAGCCCGGCCCCCTGGCCCACCCGTCGCGCCCGGCCCCCCACCCCACCCGAGCTGATATTGGCTATTAGTGATGGTGACACCTTGTGGCATGCCCTCAGTACTCCAGCACCATTGACCTTGTATTGATCGTGCAATGATGGCCCACTATTGGGAGTTGCCCAGTGTATTGGCGGAGGTGTCAGCTCTTCCTTCCTTCCTTCCTTCCTTCCAAGTCTAATTACTACAGCGTTTACTTCAATTTCCACAAATATTTTGTGTATGACATTGTCTAAACCGCATCACATGCAATATAACGAGCCAACGTTAATTATTTATTTCATGCTCAGCTCCTGCCTAGAGGTGAATGTGTTGGAGCCAACCCTCGTCAGTCAGTGTCTCATTTACCTCTTTGCCTGATTCACTTGGTCATTTCGTCAATTTTTAGCCAATGATGTAAACAGAATAAAGTAAAGATGCACGGGATAGCGTTTATACTTTGTATCATTTACCAAACCTGTTCAGCTACAAAACACCTACAAAACACATTACACTTAACGGAAAATCCTGTGAAGCTCTTTTGAGACATTCTCACTTGAAAGTCACTGTATCAAATAATTTGTTATGTAAGGTGTATCCTTATATCCCACATGAAGACTCTAAATCCGCCTCACCTCTTTATAAATATCCTTATCCCAACCATCACTTGGTCAGACTGGCACTTAGTGGTGCAATCCCGGAGCTAACACTAACACTCACACTGAGACTAACACTAGAATCATAGAATTATACAGCATAGAAGGAGGCCATTCAGTCCATCATGTCTGTGTCGGCTCTTTGAAAAGAGCTATCCGAATCAATCTCACTCCCGCGCTCTCTCCCTATTGCAAACTTGTCTTCAGCAAATAATTATCTACTTCTCTCTTAAAAGCTGTTATCGAATCGGCTTCCACCACCCTTTCAGGCAATGCATTCCAAATCCGAACAACTCGCTGTGTGAAAAAATATCCCCTTATTTTACGTCACACTCACACTAACACTCACACCAACACTAACACTCAGTATGTGTGTATCTGTTGGAATAACATGAGGCACTTTGGCTGCTCAGGACATAACAACGATGATTGAGAAAAAACACTTCCTCCAGTCCCACAAACCCTACCCACTGTGCACTTTACCACCAGAGCTCCTCCAGGAAGCCAGGATAATGGATTAGATGGCCTCTTTCTGTCCTGTAAATTTCTCCGGTCCCAATACAACAGCAACTTGCACCCTTCATGTGGGGTAGCATCCCGGAGCGCTTGAAATCCATCCCATCTCCTCAATTTGTTCCCAGTCCATAACTATCCTTATAACCCCAATACCCCTCTCTGTATCTCAGTCTGAGCCGAGACTCCAGGAGCTATTTAGCCTGACATTATTCAGCCTTGTGATGCTCAGATAACTCTTCATTTCATGTCATTTCATCTTAACCTTGATTTGGGCCAAGTCACACATTGAGCGTGACATAAATAATAGCTGTTTGACTGGAAAGCCATTATTTCCGGCAGACATTTCCTGGCTGTGGCCGCTGCTGTCAGTGGAGGATGTTAAGGATATTGGGAACGTTCCCAGCGAAGTTTGGTAAAGGAGCTCTCTCTTCACTTTCAGCTTTGGAGATTAAACAGTAAAGCATTGAAGGTGCCTCAGCTGGGTTACATCACTAGGGGTGGGGATGGGGGTTGGGGGTTCCATCGCTGGGAGGTGGGAGGTCATCAGTGGGGTGGGGCAGGGGAGAGGGGAGTTCATGAATGCAGCATGTTAACTCATTAAATAAATGTGATGCTGATGTAACATGGTTGGAAATTGCAGGAAGGAATGATTACAGACTAACATTGTCTCTCTGTCACTCTCTGTGCCTCTGTCTGTGTCACTGTCTGTGTCTCTGTCTTTGTCACTGTCTGTATCTCTGCCTGTGTCACTATCTTTGTCTGTGTCACTGTCTCTGTGTGCTGTCTGTGTCGCTGGCTGTCACTGTGTGTCTCTCACTCTCTGTGTCAATGTCTGTGTGTGGTTGTGGCTGTCACTGTCACTCTCTGTCACTGTCTGTGTGGCTGTGTACACGTGTCACTGTTACTCTCTGGTCACTCTCTGTGTCTGTGTGTGCCACTGTCTCTTTGTCACTGTCTGTGTGTCACTGTCACTCTCTGTGTCTGTGTGCCTGTCACCCTCTGTGTCACTGTGTCTGTCGCTGTCTCTGTGTCTGTGCCCAGGTGATGTTGGAGCAGATGCAGGGCTTGGCCCAGCTGGAGCTGTCTGGCTGTAATGACTTCACAGAGGCCGGGCTATGGTCCAGCCTGAACGCCCGCATCACGGCGCTGAGTGTCAGCGACTGCATCAATGTGGCAGACGATGCCATCGCGGCCATCTCCCAGCTGCTGCCCAACCTGACCGAGCTGAACTTGCAGGCCTACCACGTGACGGACACGGCCATGGCCTATTTCACCGCCAAACAGGGCTCCACCACACACACGCTGCGGCTCAACTCGTGCTGGGAGATCACCAACCACGGCGTGGTCAATATGGTGCACAGTCTGCCCAACCTCACCGCCCTCAGCCTCTCCGGCTGCTCCAAGATCACCGACGATGGCGTCGAGCTGGTGGCCGAGAACCTGCGGAAGCTGCGCTGCCTGGACCTGTCCTGGTGCCCGCACATCACTGACATGGCCCTCGAGTATATCGCCTGTGACCTGCACAAGCTGGAGGAGATCATCCTGGACAGGTACAGCACAGCACGGCCCCGATACACACAGCCCCGCTACACACAGCCCCGCTACACATAGCCCCGCTACATACAGCCCCACTACACACAGCCCCACCACACACCACACAGCCCCACCACACACAGCCCCACTACACACAACACATCCCCACTACACACAGCCCCACTACACACAGCCCCGCTACACATAGCCCCGCTACATACAGCCCCACTACACACAGCCCCACCACACACCACACAGCCCCACCACACACAGCCCCACTACACACAACACATCCCCACTACACACAGCCCCACTACACACAGCCCCGCTACACACAGCCCCGCTACACATAGCCCCACTACAAACCACGCAGCTCCCCGACACACAGCACAGCCCCTCCGAGTCATCTTAAAACGCTTCACTACACACAGCCCCATTGCACACTACACAGGCCCCCTACACACAGCACAGCCCTCTACACACAGCCCCCTACACACAGCCCCACTACACACCACACAGCTCCCCTACACACAGCGCAGCCCCAATCACCCGGGATTCATCAAACCATGTTCCACACATTAATCGTTCTGTGGGATGTTGCAGTTCCCAGATTAACTGCTGTGTTTTGCTTTGCTATTTTTTGGAGGGTCAGCCCGGTGTCCGACACGTGCGGAAACCCATCACTGTGCTTAAGGGTATCCAAACCACGCTGGGAATTCCATGTATCCCACCCCACACATGGAAATCCCAGAGATAGATTGTTGGAATGGAATGCGCTCTCTCTCTCTCTCTCTCTCTCTCCCTGGAGGGACGGTTCCTGCTTCATAACAGCAGTGACTCCACTTCACAGCAATTGAATGTGTGAGGAGCTGTGATCAGCCCCCACGTCACAGACATGGCTGGTCATGTTACTCAGCCTGCACTGTGCTGTGTTGCGCTGTGTTGCTCTGTGTTGTACTGGACAGTGCTCACAGTGAGGAGCTTTTCCTGCACCGTGCAGTCTGAAGGGGGACAATTAGTCGCACTTTGCTTTAATGTGGTGCTGAGCTGCGGAGTGTGCGGGGGCTGGGCTCAGCGAGGAGTTGTGGTAGTGACACGTGAAGCAGCTTGTGAGGAACGCGGGCAGTGTTCATATCACAAGGCAGGAGAAGCAGGCTCTGAGACATGCTGCAAATTCATCATTAAAATGGTATCTATTATACCAACAAGACAAGACAGAAAATGCTCCTTTCCATCAAGTTACTGTGAAGTTTAACGAGAGCAAATAATCCTCACCCCCGCCTCGTACATCACTACTGACGCTGTGGGGGGGCCACCAACGACAGGGGGTGCTTCTTACAATGTGTGGGGTGGGGAGAGCCGGAATTAATACAACTACAACAACTTGTACTTATATAGCGCCCTCCACGCAGGGTAGCGTCTCAAAGCGCTTAATCCCCACCTTCACCACTGCAACCTGGTCAGCCCATCCCAAATCATCCCCAGCTGAAAATTGCACTTGGGCAGGTGAAGAATGGGTCCCTGGGCTTTCCTGATATCATTAATAATTATTAATAATAATAATGCTTACATTTGATGTAGTGCCTTATCAAGTTGTCGTGTCGTCTTAAAGTGCTTCACAGGATACACTGTAAAGTGTGTATCTTGTGGGCAAAACATGGGGCCAATTTATACACAGCAATGTCTCACAAACAGCCAGGGAGTGAGTGACCAATTTTATTTGGTGGATTGTTGCCCAGGACACCAAGAAAGAAAAACTCCCTTCTCTTATTGAATAGTGCCATGGGATCTTTAACATCCACCTGAACAGACAGACAGGACGTCAGTTTAACATCTTATCTGAAGGACGGCACCTCCAACAAGGCAACCCCCCACCCCCCCCCAGCTCTATGTTGGTGCGTCATCTTAGCTTAGTGATTCCATGTCCCGTTGTGGGGGCTTCAACCCACCACCTTCTGACTAGGAGCGAGAGTGCTATTACTAAGCCAGGCTGACACATCTTATTCTGATATTTGAACCTAGATTTAAATGTTACATTGTGCAAAATACACAATTATTTGGTGTTACATGTACCGAGGTCTGATCAGACCATGTAATGGACTCACTGAGGCATTGTGGCTTTGCGTTAGCTGGATTCCTGCTCGTCACATTAAATGCTCCTTGTTCTGTTTACAGATTGTGTTGGTTGTATGAGAAATATTGTACTTTCTAGACTCATTAGAAGCATTAGGTACATCAAACATAGTTTGTAATCCCAATAGATTATGTTAGGTATATCAGAGTTATTCTTAGTATGTTTTCATTTACGTACTGCATACATCAGAAGTAGACTGCAGTAATCCTCCTAGATTGTAGTGGAGAGATAAGAGATTGGACATGATCCTGGCTTTGTAGATATATTAATATTATTTTACTTTAATTACAATCCTTGCATTTGATATATCGCTTTATCTCGTCATCGAGACGTCTCAAAGTGCTTCATGGGATAAACTGTAAAGTGTAGCGACTGTGTAGTTTGTGAATGAAACGCGGCAGCCAGTTGTACACAGCAATGTCCCACAAGCAGCCATGGAGCGAGTGACCAATTTTATTGGAGGGGTTATCGGCCAGGACACGGGGAGGGAGAAACTTCCATCTCTTTTCGAATAGCGCCACGGGATCTTTAACGTCCATCTGAACAGGCACAGATAGGACCTCAGTTTAGCATCTCACCCGAAGGACACAACACCCGCCAGCACTGTATTGAAGCATCATCTAAGACTATGTGATTCTAAGTACTAATGTGGGGCTTGAACCCACAATCTTCAGACTCAGAGCGCTACCACTGAGCCAGGCTGACACCCGTAAAGTAAACCCAGATCAATACTTTCAGATGCACCAAGACAGTAGGACAGGAGGACATAGGTTTACATTAGCTCAGTACCTTTTACATTAGGAGGATGTTTCAAAGCGCTTCACATGATATACAACAACAGCAACCTGCAGGACAGCGTCTTGGAGCGCTTAACAGCGGGGGAACCTGGTGCCAAGCCGGGGGGAGAGGGGTAGTGATCGGAGGTCGAAGAGGGAAGTCTTCAGGTGTGATCTGAAGATGGGCAAGGACTGGGCGAGGGGGAGGGGATTGAAGCAGGGAGTTCCAGAGTTTCGGGGTGTAGTGGTTCAAAGCATGGCCACGATGGAGCAGAGAGGCGAGGGGGATAATCGTAACATGCAGTGACGGTGTGTTTTGCGGGTGAATGTGCACATGCTCAGCGGTGCTCCAATTCTGTACACAGAGTGTGTAGAGAGTGTGTGGTGTGGCCGACTGGTGTGATGTTAGATATTAGTGTAATACGCTGGGCAGTTCAGTATGACAGGAGCATTGTGTGCAAGCAACTGTGTTCAACTGTGATAAATGCATGAATGATACACTGAATGAATGAATAAATGAATGAATAAAGTGCTTCTTTCAAACACCGATTAGATAGTTTTCTTCTAGGAAATAACATTATGGGATATAGTACATAGGTAGTTTAGGACATGTGTGTATACGAACGCCAGGAAGTTGGAAAGCGAACTAGATGAACCTTGATCTTTTTTCGTCAAGCATTTCTTATGTTCTTATGTTCTTCTTCACTCTAATCCAGTCAGACTGTTACACGCAACCACTGTAATGCCGTTAGTTAGTCCTGTACATACTGGGTATGTACACACCACACTCACAGCACCTTTGAGAGAGGTCGGACCTTCAACCTCTCTGCCCCCACCCTTTGAAACTCCATCCCACGGTCCCTTTGCCTCGCTCCCTCCCTTACCTCCTCAAGGCACGTCTCAAGACCCTCCTCTTCGACTGTGCCTTCACCAACAGCCGAGCTTCAAGTTACTCCACAACACAATACGTTTACATTCACGCTGCCCCTGATCACTAGAACCCCCTGCCCCGTCCGCCCCCACCTTCTCCAGCCTTAAATCCCATCTGAAAATCTGCCTTTCGACCTCCCCTCTCGCCAGCTCGGCCTCACTGCCCAAGGCTCTGAGATGGTCTCCGACATGAAGGGGCTGTGCAAATACACGTTGTCATTGATGTTGGAGCTGAGGTCAGGAAGCGTTTCCTTACACAGAGGCTTGTGAGGGTGGGGAATGCCCGGCCCCAGGAACCTGTAAAGGTGGGATCAATAGTGATGTTTAATAGGGAGACAGACAGAGATTGGGGTAGTGGAGGGATTAAGAGGTGTGACGAAAGGAGGGAGGGGACATTGAGATTAAAATATCTGCCAATGTCTAATAAATTGGTAGAACAAATGGCCTCCTCTGTTTCTATGTGCCGCTCATGGTATTGCTTGTGCCTGCAGCCTCCTGTCTGTTGCCTGGCTATGCTGGGAGCTGCCAGTGCGCAGACAGACGCAGACACTTGGCCTGGACACAGATTCTGTGTGAGAGGCAGCTGAATTATTTATTTGCCTGTAATGCAGTTACTGTGGGATGAAGGCTAGGTTTTCAGGAGTGATTTTTTTTCCCCGCTGGAAGCTGGTGAGATCAGACGCACTGCAGGAACAAGATGGTGGTTTCTGCAGCCTCTGCATTCTCAGCTAAAGTGTGCAAACTCCAGCCTCAACGTGTTTAAAACAATACAAGTCAAAATACACCAACTCATTCATAACACGGACCGCATTTCCTAATGCGGCAGGACAGAGGTCAGTGCAAACCCAATGCCAGGCAGGGGCTAACATGACGCTGAGACGGGGAATCTATCAGAAACAACAGGTGGAGACTGAACGCAAGCCATGAGAACAGCTAGACCTGGGAATAAAGGTTTTTGTTTTTAAGGATCTTTGATCGCTTCTCATACTGCTTTTGCGCAGTTGGCTGCCTCGTTTCGCCCACATGATGTATTGCAAAGTCACTCCACTTTACAATATATTCTGTGAAGCGCTTTGAGACGTCTTGACGACATGATAAGGCGCTGCATCAAATGCAAGGTTTATTATTATTATTGGCCTTTTGGCTAAGATCAAGTGCCATCCCTGTTCTTATCAGTTACCCCTCGGGCCAGCTCCTATACACACGTTTCCCTCTTGAGATTCGCTTGTGATGATCTGGCCAAATCTCACCCAGAATTTAGGGGAAGGATTGAGCTCCTGGCTACAGCTATGCCTTCAGCTCTCCATTGGTTGGGACCAGTATTGCAGTACTTCCCTTGCAACTCCCTCACCAAAAAACAAATCTTAAGAGAAACAGTTGTTATGTAGACAGCGCACTGGAGCTGATGTCTTGCTGTGTTGTGGGGAGTCATACCTTTAGCTTACTGACGTCAGCCCCTGACATTACCCACAGCCAAGGAGAACACATTGATTCCTCTGCTCCTACTGGCATTCAGCTTAAGACACGGTGAACACCTGACAGTGAATCCGGAGAGAGCTTTGAGACGTTCTCCTCGTATGAAAGGCGCTGCATCAAACGCAAGGATTAATATTATTATTATAATATTTTATTCAGTCAAGCGTTAACCCTGGCTATTTACACCTCCAGACATAATAATAATAGTCTTTGGATTTGATTCAGTGCCTTATCACATCATTGAGATGTACTGTTCCTCACTGCGTGTACTGTTAAGTGTAGTGGCTGTGTATTTTGTAGGCAAATGCGACAGCCAATTTGTGCACAGCAACATCCCACAAACAGGCATGAAGTGAACGGCCACGAGGGATGAACGGTTTATAATATAATTATTTACATAAAAACAAATACGGTACGTGGTTGTTTCACTGTCGCCCCACATTTTCAGGTCAGCTGAGTGCAGTGTGTGAGCGCCCCCTGCTGGCAGAGGCAGAGGCGGCGCTATTTAGTGTTTGTTCTCTGTGTGGGAGAAGACATGAGGAAGATATAAAAAGACAGGATTAATGAGGGATTAATTCATGTGTTGAACAATAATTGTCCTTTCTAGAGAATACACTGACTGGCACAGCATGCGGTGCCATCGCTGTGTTAGCATCACTACGATACAAAAGATGGTCATTGTGGAGCTGTTAATATGGCCACATAATTACTGAGTCAGACACCGAGCGTGTGGCGAGGCATTGTTTAGCACAAACAGCCAACAGCAGCGTCCCTGAGCAGCCCAGAGACCATCAACACTGCCTGCCTGGCGCCCGCTGGACAACAGCTCATCACTCACAGCGCGGACTGGATGAGAAATTCACATCTCTACACTTATCACTGACATTGTAAACGGCGTTAAACTCGCTGGAAACAACGTGTAGGATCCACATTCACTCAATTAGCATCACCAAGGACAGATTGTCACAATCTCCAATACCGGCAGCTTTTGAAGCTGTTTTTCTGTAAGTTTCTTTCGAGAACATATAAAAATCTTCAACGTTATAATTAAATTCAGCAATTTGCCAAATTCGGGAGCTGCTAAACTGTTGGATTAACCCTGCAAGCCAAAGCCCTACCAGGTAGGGTGGTCCTAGCTGGACAAGCAGCGGGAAAGCTTGCCAGACAGTGCTATCAATGGCAAGCTATGAGGTTTTAGCTGGTTAGACTCCAGCAGTTACCCCAATGCAAACTCTGGGGTCCCCAACACTTGGCTCCTGCCAACCTGTGCCGAGTGTTCTCCAGAATGTGGAGTTCTGTTGGTTTTAGCACTCGCCTCGCAAGCGAGAGGTCCGGGGTTTGATTCCCGGGCATGACAAAACGTTGGGCAAGTTTCTTTACTTCACAGGCCTCTGTTTACCGAGCAGTAAGTAGGAACCTGGTTGTTATTCGAATGGCGGATCGCTTTTCCGGGGGTAATGTTCCCTTCAAAAGAAAATAATAATTATTTGATCAATGATGGGATTGTGCTGTATGCAGTTAACTACTGTGTTTCACCACCAAAATATACACAGATATGTTCAGCACACGTTCACGTAACACAGAGAGCATACCATAAAGTATGCGGTGGTAATCTCGAGGTGTGTCACATACTGTCCTGTTTTCCTAATTCCCATTTGAATGAAAGCCACGCGTTTCCAAATCGCAGTCATCATCTCATGCTCAGAGCACAGGGCAGTGTACTGTGCCTCACCTCCCCTCTTGCCTCCTTCAAGTCCCGTCTAAAGACTTTCCTCTTTGACCATGTCATCAGCCACCCTCCCGCTCCCTGCCGTCCACAGAGATACAGTGGGTGAGCTTCACAAAATTTGTGGCAGGAGGCGGCTGAATCGTGATGTGATAGAGAAGTAGAGAGAGTGTCACCCCAGTTAGCCACCCAGTTCCCAGTGTTGCTTTAGCGGATTCCTATGAACATCTCACAACATTCAGAGACAGTCAAATCTGCCTGTGTGCCGCAGCGCTTGTCCCTAACCGTTGCGGTTGTGCTTGGTGTTTCAGGTGCGTGAGGATCACAGACACGGGGCTGGGCTATCTCTCCACCATGTCCTCCCTGCGCAGTCTCTACCTCCGATGGTGTTGCCAGGTAAGCCCTGGCGTTCTCACACACTGACACACCCTCACACACTGACACACGCCCTCACACACTAACACAACACACAGTCTCACACACTGACACACACCCTCACACATTGACACACACCCTCACACACTGACACACATCCTCTCACACTGCCATACAGCCTCACACAAATCCTCACACACTGCCACATACTCTCACACACTGACACACACCCTCACACTCTCACACACACCCTCACACACTGATAAATATCCTCAAACACTAACCCACACCCTCACACACTGACACACACCCTCAAACAATGACGCAAACCCTCACACACACCCTCACACACTGATAAATATCCTCAAACACTAACCCACAGCCTTACACACTGACACACACCCTCACACCCACATTGACACACTGATAGCCAGGAATGTTACATTTACCAGCAGAAACCCTGGCTGATGAAGTCGCACTCAGTGATGTAGGTGCCGTTGACAGTTCCTCGTGTTGATAATCTTTGAATAGGTTGAAATGAAGCTCTCGGTGGCCATTGGGCAGTAACTGTAAACGTGTGAGTGTTGGTCAGTCCATCACCATTTTCACTGTGGTAACATCAGCGAGCATTTCTGCGTACGCTCTGGTCAACAGTCGCTCATCCAGAGCACAGTGTGTGTGAACCACATAATCTAATCCATTGCTGTCACTTGCACCTTCCTGTGATTCCGTGCTCATATGTCAGAGCAGAACCCAGGCAGGTCAGGACCTCACACTCACATTGGAGTCATTAACTTGTTCACATTTTCCTTTCCCACCAGGTCCAAGATTTTGGTTTACAGCATCTCTTCGGGATGAGGAGTCTACGATTACTTTCCCTCGCAGGTGAGCGCACCTGCAGTCAGCTTCACTGTCTGCTTAGGCACTTCACAGTGCGGAGGGCAACGCACCAGGTGGGGGGTGGGGGGGGGGGAAGGATACTGAGTGGTGTCTCACGCTACAATGTGGGGAAGAAAAACGTAAGGCTGAGGGAATCGTCTTTCACGGCAGGAGGTCATCCACCCCCCCCCCCCCCCCCAACCACACCTTTCACCTTCGCTCATCCCAACGCCCAGCTAGTGTCTGAAACACTGATTGTCCAGCAGCTTGGGACATTCTCCCGACGTGAAAGGCACTGCATGAAAGTCATTATGTTGTTGTTGTTTGGTAGTCCTGGTGACGTTAACTGAGCTGAGGGGAAAGATAACCAAAGCGCGGTCATAGAAGTAGGACTAGAGATGGACCTTGAAAGAGGTGAAGGAGGGAGTGAGTTGGAGGGACTCCGGGATGGAACTCCAGAGAGCAGGGGCTGATAGGGTAAAAGCCCGGCTGTGGATACTGGGGCAGGGAGGGCGGGGGACACAAAGCAGGCTGGAAATGTTGGAGTGCAGACAGTGTTGGAGCTGTAGATGGCAAAGGTATGTAAATAGTACAGACATGTGGAATGCGTAGACAGTGTTGGGAGCTTTCTACTGCTTGGTGCATCCGAAATCACTGCTCAGTGAGTGACTGCAGGCAGGTTCCCAGCAATAGCATCATGACCTCCCCATGTCACAGAGCACTTCAGTTGATCGGGGAGAAGGGGTGGGCTGGGGGGCGTTGGTTGTTACCCAGGACATTGGGAGAAACTCCTTTCTCTCTTCACGAATAGTTTGGGGATCGAGTAGATCTTTAAGATCCGATAAAGAACAACAACAACTTGCATTTATGTAGCACCGTTCACACCAGACAGCGTCTCGGAGCAGTTGATTGTTAAAGTGTGCGATGGAGGTAGGGAGGGGAGGGGAGGGTGTGAGGGGGGGAGGGAAAGTGTGAGGGAGGGAGGGAAGGCCTGAGGGAGGGAAAGAGGGAGGGAGGAAGGGAGTGATGGAGGGATGAATGACCTGTTCTTCTCCTCTTCCCCGCAGGCTGCCCCCTGCTGACCACAGCCGGGCTGTCCGGCCTGATCCAGCTGCAGGACTTGGAGGAGTTGGAGCTGACCAACTGCCCCGGAGCCACCCCCGAGCTCTTCAAATACTACTCGCAGCACCTGCCTCGCTGTATGGTCATCGAGTAACGTGGCCCTGGCTGCCCACAGCTCCCACTGCGGCCACAGCCGGGGCTGGCTGCCACTCAGACAGTCTCTGCCTCATCAGCCCTAGCGAATGCTGGACGGTGTCAGGAATGAGAAAGAAACCCTGTGAATAGAAACAGATTCATTTGCTTTGGTGTGCACCGACCGGGTCATCCCATTCTGTCTGGGTGTGTTGAGTTCCACAGTCATTCCTGCCCATCGCACTGCTCTGTGTTCTGGATGTGGAGTGGTTGTGACCTGGCTTGTTCTGAGCATGTGCTGGGAGGGGGTGTGGGTGGGGGGCCGCGTGTGTGTGTGGCTCCTGCTCGCAGTGCTGGGTCTCTGTGATGTGTCTTAGCGTCTGTGTACAGTACACTCCCCTTTGCCGAAGTCTTTCCCGGACAGGGGCTGCAGCTCTCTCCTTTTTTTGGGACCGACCTGAGCCGCGCTGCTCCTTCCTTTCCTCCCCTTCGTGCCCTTCCTTGGATCAGGGACACTGATGTGAGCGGCCTTTCGGGAAGCTGTTCCGCCAGGGGCAGCAGCAACAGCAGCCGCTGCTGGTAACGCACTCGGCCACCGACGGACGCACTGTGTTGTCGCTGAGCCGCGGGGCTGTGCGGGGGTCTAAGCCCCGCTCCCTCCCCACCGCCCCCAGCACTGGCCTGGCTGGGCTGTTACCCACTGGGACCAAACGAAGCCAGTCAGCACTGCTTGTGTCTAACCATCGAAAGGCGATCACTGAGGACTTTCTTACTGTATATAGTTTTCTGTCTGTTTGGATACTTCAAAACCTTCTTGCTTATATTCGCTGCGTGTTTTCCTGTGCTGTCGAACCCCCTCCCACCCCCCCACCCCCACCATCCCCATCCCCGGCTTGCCTGCCGTTTACAGCTTGTTGCTCTGCAATAAAAGTGTCAGAGAAGGTTCCGGAAGGTGAAGAAGAGCTCCCGTGCCCCCCCTTCCCCTTCCCATTCCCAATAACATGTATTTATTGAGCACCTTTCGCATTGGGAGGACGTCCCAAGGCGCTGGGCACACAGTCAGGCTGTTCCTAATTACCCTTTGGGTAAAGAGTACAGACAGTCGTCTCAACAGTTACAGAAAGACGTAGAGGGAATGTGAACGGCAACGAGAGCCTCAAATGCAACTGTATTTGTTGCTTCTGCCTTGTCCACGATGCTGGGCAGACACCAGCCACGGTGACACTCCGGCCCCGGCCGTTGGGTGTAAATTGGTTCATCGCCATTTCGGGCCCTTATAATATAATGATAATAATAATAATAATAATAATCCTTGCATTTGATACAGCGCCTTATCATGTCTTCAAGACGTCTCAAAGCGCTTCACAGGATACACTGTAAAGTGTAGTGACTGTGTATTGGGCGTTTCTGTTTCTTTTGCGAAATTCCATTCGGAACTGAGCGCCTCCAACACAGGGGCTCAACCCCCCCCCCCCCCGCCCACATGGGCACCGAGCCCCGCTCCCCATCACATAGATACTGAGCCCGAGCCCCCTCCATGGGCACTAAGATCCATGCACCCGCTGGCACTGAGCCCCGCCCCCTACACAGCCACTGAGCCCCACCTCCTACACAGGCACTGAGCCCCAATCCCTCCCCTACACAGGCACTGACCCCCACCCCCTACAGATGCACTGAGCCCCACCCTCCCCTACACAGGCACTGACCCCAACCCCCTATAGATGCACTGAGCCCCAACCCCTCCCCTACACAGGCACTGAGCCCCACCCCTCCCCTACACAGGCACTGAGCCCCCACCCCCTCCCCTACACAGGCACTGAGCCCCACCCCCTACACAGACACTGAGCCCCAACCCCTCCCCTACACAGGCACTGAGCCCCAACCCCTCCCCTACACAGGCACTGAGCCCCACCCCCTACACAGGCACTGAGCCCCAACCCCTCCCCTACACAGGCACTGAGCCCAACCTTCCCCTACACAGGCACTGAGCCCCACCCCTACACAGGCACTGAGCCCCAACCCCTCCCCTACACAGGCACTGAGCCCACCCCCTACACAGGCACTGAGCCCCACCCCTCCCCTACACAGGCACTGAGCCCACCCCCTACACAGGCACTGAGCCCCACCTCCTACACAGGCACTGAACCTCACCCCCTACACAGGCACTGAGCCCCAACCCCTCCCCTACACAGGCACTGAGCCCCACCCCCTACACAGGCACTGAGCCCCAACCCCTCCCCTACACAGACACTGAGCCCCACCCCCTACATGGGCACTGAGCCACGCCCCTTTCATGTGCACTGAGCCCCCCCCCTACACGGGCACCAAGCCCGCCCCCTACATGGGCACTGAGCCCTGCCCCCTACATGGGCACTGAGCCCCGCCCCCTACACGGGCACCGAGCCCCGCCCCCTACACGGGCACCGAGCCCCGCCCCCTACACGGGCACCGAGCCCCGCCCCCTACACGGGCACCGAGCCCCGCCCCCTACACGGGCACCGAGCCCCGCCCCCTACACGGGCACTCCTCACGCCCGCCAGCTTTAACTGTTGTGTAGATGAGATTGTAAAGGAGTAAAAGATAACGTTTCAAAGTCCATGCGGATTGTTCCGGAATTTCATATTCAAACCATTGCTATCGATTAGCTCACCAACTGCCGCAGAGAGACATCCCATCAGTCTGAGGGGACCCACACTCAGAGGTGAAGGTCTCGCTAAAAACGGAATAAAAATGAATATAAAAAATTGTGTTTTTCACAACAATTAGGCAAGAAACTGTCACCGAGGCCATGTTTATAACGTTCAGCAGAGAATCTCTCCTGAAGATGGTGTGCGTGTGTCGGGAGTGTCCAGACACATAATTCAGAGGAGCTTTCATTGAATCACAGATCACAGTGACAGCCAAGTCATTAATCTCTTTGAGTTGTTTGAAGGTAAATTTAATATGAAAATCACAACCCAAATCTCCAGCATGAAACGTGCATAAAGTCACATCAGCGAGAGCAGGTTTGTCAGACAGAAACATGGCTTTCCAGGTTAAAGCGTCCAGTTAACATTACACCAGGGATAGAGAGGGCGATGGAGTAAGTGTATGAGGATAGGAAAGAGGGTGGCAGCAGGAACGATGGACACGTGTTCCTGGACTTGCCTTTGACAGCCTTAAGTTAAACATTAAAAAAACTAATAAGAGACAGATAGATACCCTGGATTGAAAACAAACCAGTTTGGGAGGGAAATCAATACAAGCTGTTTCCAGAATGTTCACATGTGAGGCAGGGCTTGGAAGATGGAAGCGTGCGGAGATAGTGGCAGAGATTGCAAACTGGTGAGTGCAGTAACTAACGACTTGCCCGCACCAGAGAATGGGAAGATAATTCAGGAAATGAAGATTTTTGTTGAGAGACGTTTGAGAGTGACAAGCTCAGGGTTGGGTAGAATTAGACAAATGAAGAATAGGACGGAAGAAGCCGACAAATGAAGAATAGGACGGAAGAAGCCAGTGAGAAAGATTAGAGAGTCTGCGGAGAAGCCAGAGCTGATCTTGATGGGCTCAATGGCCTGTGGTCTACAGTGCTTCTCTGCAGCGATCAGTATTACAATTGAAGCGATCACTTCCTGACACATGGAAAGGGGAAAGCAGCGGGAACCTTCGCCTGTCAATGTGAAGGTGCAGTCAGCGACACTTTGGGTAAACTCCGTGGGGATTTTGTACGAATTCTGAAGTGTCTTCAAGAGGATTTACTGAAACCCTGGCTTCTGACTGCATCAAATATTGTAATATTGAGGATCCCTCTGCTAACAGATCTTATTATTCTACAGCAAAAGCTGTCCTGGTCAACAGGCTCCTCGCTCCAGCCTCATAATCACCTCAACGTACCTCATCCCTCCATGTAATGCGAAGCTCCACACATATTCGGTGGTTGAAATGTTCTAGACGAACAGTGGTGACAGGAGAGGTGACTCCAGTAACAAACAGAAAGGCTTGGAATTGATATAAAGCGACAACTGGAAATCTGTAAATGTTATAAATAACAATACAGTGGTTGGGAGTGTGATTCGGCAGTGAGGGGGCTTGGACACGTTTATAACCCACTGCTTGTGCTCTTAATACATCAGCCAAAAGCCTTCAGTATATTTCAGCCTTGAAACACACTCCCGGCCTCTGATTCTGTGTATGATGTATGCAAGCTATGACACTCCCCTGTATCATTCAGTTAAATAAACCCCAATATCACTCGCTTGTCAGGTAATGTGATTTGATCGTAGAAGCTGGAAACCATGGCAACCCCATTGGCAAACCCACCGTCTCATGTGCTGTGATGATATTTCTGCTTCTCTGCCCCTACAAGGCATTTAGTTTTGATCAGCCAAGTGTCTGACTCGTGGAAACCCATCGCCACGCTAAAGAGCGTCCAAACCAAACTGGGAGTTCCAAGCAAACACCCGCCGACCTACGCATGGAAATTTGCGAGTATTTGAATGGAATGCGCACTCACTCCCTGGAGGGAAGAATTGTGCTTTCTTAATTCCAGAGAGCACAAAGCACAGGCTGGCCAGAGCCAAGGCTTGGGGACCTCAAGAGCGTGCATTGCGGTAACTGCTGGTGTCTAACCAGCTAAGAAAACAAAGCTCGCCATTAAGAGCAGTGTCTGGCAAGCTTTCCCGCTGCTTGGCCAGCAAGGACATTCCATTCCCGATTATGTCACTAGTTCCAAGATTTTGCCTTCCCCCACTTACAACAGCAACAACTTGCGCTTATATAGCGCCCTCCACACAGGGCAGCGTCTCAGAGTGTTTGTTACCTCCCCCTCCCCCCACCCCGAAGCACTGGATAGAGAGATTTGAAGTTGAAACCCCGGTATTAACCACGAATAAATAAAACCGTGAATTTGCTTTGGGGTTTGTTCTCCTGAGATAGCAGAACGCAGCACCACATCCCACCGTTTACACTGTGATAGACAGGGGGCAGACACGGCTGCTATTTTAAGTTTCAAATATTAAATATTCAACAGACGCAGCAATT